CGAGGTGATGGAGGTAAGCCGTCAGCGTCAGCACATGCATTACCACCACCAGGACCACCATCGAAAACACGTAATTCACGACGACAACTACAAGAACAGTTAGTGCGAAGGGAACAGAAACGAGCCAGTCGAGGAGTGGATGCTTCACGAAAATATAATACTAATAATGATAATGAGAATAATAAAACGGAACGACCAAAGAAACGTGCTGCACTAGGGCTTTGCGAGAGATAGCCACGTACCAGCGGAGTACAAACCTCCTTATAAGGAAGGAAGCTGCCATTCTCTCGATATATCCGTTATATTATGGCGACGTCACTTGGTCCGAGATACTTAACGTTTCGTTGGCAAGCGATATGCTTTCTGGCCTTACAAGAAGCCGCTGAAGCATTCCTCGTGAGCTTATTTGAGTCGGCTCAACAATGTGCAATTCACGCTAAACGTGTTACAGTGATGGCTAAAGATGTCAAGCTAGTGACAGATTTACAAAACATTCCAACTGCCTCAGCTTATCAACAATTGCAATTGACAACGTTGACGAATAATCGACCAATGTTAACGGCAGCACCCTGTCCATCGAATAGGAAGAATCGGAATAATAACAATGATAACGATAGTAATGTCAGATGATGACTGTTTTCTAGTTGATTTTTGTAATTTCATCATCACTGTTTTTGTTGTTGTTGTTGGCGCTGCTAGTGATTTGGTTTTATCTCTGATCCCCACTTCGTTTCACTTCTCTTCTTGTTCCAGTGTACATAATCCTTGCCCACATTCACTCTTTGTGATATATATAATCTCCAGTCAACTTCTATTGTTCTTCCACTTTACTACTGTTCTTTTTGCCCCACATTTCTGTTTGTTACCTCTCCTTTTCTCTCTTCTTGTGTGTGCTACATGGACATGGAGTGTGGAAACTGGAACTGCTGCACATCTGTGCAAAGTTCTAGGTTGGAACTAGTCAGTCAATAATCCTCCCCCACTCCTGCCCTCCCTGCCTGCCTGTCCCTTTGTTCTACTTGATCTTTGCCTAATTCCCAACTGTGATATGTCTGTAGATACAGTGTTTTCCTTCTTATATTATATTATGTTAGGTTATAGTTTTGTGAATGCTTCACTACTTTTATATCGAATTAGATGCACTTTTGTGATTGTGCGATGACCTTATTTGTACATAGTGACTTTAAATGCTGCATGGCTAGCAACAGTATGAGTCTGTCTCTCAGTGAACAGACTGTTTTTGCAGATAATTACAAGTGAAAATTGCCGTGGGCTTGTTCCACACAGCATTGTCGATGCGGTATAAAAATCCTAGCATGTTTAAAAATATTGAATATAATGTTCTCTTAACATGATATGGTGAGGGGAAAAACAAAGATTACAGCAGTCATAGAGATAAGTTGGTGTTTGCAATTATGAGAGTAAAACAAAGAAGCAACAGAACCATAAATATAATAGAAATAATAAAAGTAAAACTTGAAGGTATATAAGGATGGATGGAGGAAATTGTTTACTTACTAGATGAAAAAAGGCTAGTTAATTCTTGCCTGACACCAGTTTCATCACATTAAATATGTCCCAAGTACGGTATCATAGAATTGTTATCCTTAGACGTGCGAGCACACAGTTTCCTGAAGTTGGTGCTTGCTCTACCTGAGAAGATGCTAAGTGAAAGGTGATGCTCCAAGTTAGACAAAATCCCTTCAGCAAATTTATAACTCGATGTCAAGTGCCTATCGACAACGACGTTAACTATGTGGTTCACCGGGACACGACTCACCCTGTTGACAGTGTTCAGCATTCTACGAATTGTGACATAGTCCTTTTTAAGCAAACCAGGAAAGAATAAGGGTGGACAGGAAAGAAGAATAGGTAACATGCACGAGTTGACAAACTGTAAGAGGCGGAGGGGTTGAGTTATGCCTGAGTGCCTTAATACCACAGCTGAACTTTGAAACCCTAAGTTCCAATCGGAATGCAAAGAAATAAAATAAATAGTTTGTTTAGAATCTAGTTTTTAAGACACAATAAAGTCTCTTGGTCAGAGCGTGCAATTGTAGTAATTCTCTCAGTAACTGTAACATATTTTGTGCATTATAAGCAATGAGTGATCATGATTTCTAACCACCTACTATACCGTCAATTTAGTTGACCTAGAAACTCGACGAATATATATATATATATATATTTTGGGCTCATACAAGCGTGTCATTCATCTTATCCACCAAATATGTCAAATACACCATGGTAAGAATATACAGTCAATACATAAAGCTAATTCAGATTTGAGAATGCAATCCACAAGAATTAGGCTAAGCTAGATGACAAGATTGCTAGAAAGTATATCATATGGAGACCTTCCATTGAATGAAACAGAAGTATGTCTCCACTGAGGAGAAATTCAGCTGACCCGCAATCTAGAACACAACTGTGTAACTTGACTGTTCAGATTGAAGCAGATGGGGTAAGGTATAAACCTGTAACCTAATATAATATATAAGAAGGAAAACACTGTATCTACAGACATATCACAGTTGGGAATTAGGCAAAGATCAAGTAGAACAAAGGGACAGGCAGGGAGGGCAGGAGTGGGGGAGGATTATTGACTGACTAGTTCCAACCTAGAACTTTGCACAGATGTGCAGCAGTTCCAGTTTCCACACTCCATGTCCATGTAGCACACACAAGAAGAGAGAAAAGGAGAGGTAACAAACAGAAATGTGGGGCAAAAAGAACAGTAGTAAAGTGGAAGAACAATAGAAGTTGACTGGAGATTATATATATCACAAAGAGTGAATGTGGGCAAGGATTATGTACACTGGAACAAGAAGAGAAGTGAAACGAAGTGGGGATCAGAGATAAAACCAAATCACTAGCAGCGCCAACAACAACAACAAAAACAGTGATGATGAAATTACAAAAATCAACTAGAAAACAGTCATCATCTGACATTACTATCGTTATCATTGTTATTATTCCGATTCTTCCTATTCGATGGACAGGGTGCTGCCGTTAACATTGGTCGATTATTCGTCAACGTTGTCAATTGCAATTGTTGATAACCTGAGGCAGTTGGAATGTTTTGTAAATCTGTCACTAGCTTGACATCTTTAGCCATCACTGTAACACGTTTAGCGTGAATTGCACATTGTTGAGCCGACTCAAATAAGCTCACGAGGAATGCTTCAGCGGCTTCTTGTAAGGCCAGAAAGCATATCGCTTGCCAACGAAACGTTAAGTATCTCGGACCAAGTGACGTCGCCATAATATAACGGATATATCGAGAGAATGGCAGCTTCCTTCCTTATAAGGAGGTTTGTACTCCGCTGGTACGTGGCTATCTCTCGCAAAGCCCTAGTGCAGCACGTTTCTTTGGTCGTTCCGTTTTATTATTCTCATTATCATTATTAGTATTATATTTTCGTGAAGCATCCACTCCTCGACTGGCTCGTTTCTGTTCCCTTCGCACTAACTGTTCTTGTAGTTGTCGTCGTGAATTACGTGTTTTCGATGGTGGTCCTGGTGGTGGTAATGCATGTGCTGACGCTGACGGCTTACCTCCATCACCTCGTCTACGTGGAATAGGACGATCACTGAGTTGTGGAGTATCCCCCCCTTGTGGTTAACATACATCCAATCCGTGCCTTGACGCGCTGTTGCTATTTTCTTCGGCTGAGACAGTTTCTTAAGCACAGAAGGACGGGATGAACTGACATTGGACTCGAGATCAACAGACAACGATCGATTTGATAGGTTCAACTGTTCTGGCACCGTCGCTGTTTTCTTTTTCTTGATACCACCACCTTCAGCCAGTGGGATGTGTGATGTTTCCAAGTTTAGCTCATTGATAGCCCGGCCTATTCAAGTACGACAAAGGCTCTACCAAACGGGCTTTCAATGAGCTAGACTTGGAAACATCACACATCCCACTGGCTGAAGGTGGTGGTATCAAGAAAAAGAAAACAGCGACGGTGCCAGAACAGTTGAAGCTATCAAATCGATCGTTGTCTGTTGATCTCGAGTCCAATGTCAGTTCATCCCGTCCTTCTGTGCTTAAGAAACTGTCTCAGCCGAAGAAAATAGCAACAGCGCGTCAAGGCACGGATTGGATGTATGTTAACCACAAGGGGGGGATACTCCACAACTCAGTGATCGTCCTATTCCACGTAGACGAGGTGATGGAGGTAAGCCGTCAGCGTCAGCACATGCATTACCACCACCAGGACCACCATCGAAAACACGTAATTCACGACGACAACTACAAGAACAGTTAGTGCGAAGGGAACAGAAACGAGCCAGTCGAGGAGTGGATGCTTCACGAAAATATAATACTAATAATGATAATGAGAATAATAAAACGGAACGACCAAAGAAACGTGCTGCACTAGGGCTTTGCGAGAGATAGCCACGTACCAGCGGAGTACAAACCTCCTTATAAGGAAGGAAGCTGCCATTCTCTCGATATATCCGTTATATTATGGCGACGTCACTTGGTCCGAGATACTTAACGTTTCGTTGGCAAGCGATATGCTTTCTGGCCTTACAAGAAGCCGCTGAAGCATTCCTCGTGAGCTTATTTGAGTCGGCTCAACAATGTGCAATTCACGCTAAACGTGTTACAGTGATGGCTAAAGATGTCAAGCTAGTGACAGATTTACAAAACATTCCAACTGCCTCAGCTTATCAACAATTGCAATTGACAACGTTGACGAATAATCGACCAATGTTAACGGCAGCACCCTGTCCATCGAATAGGAAGAATCGGAATAATAACAATGATAACGATAGTAATGTCAGATGATGACTGTTTTCTAGTTGATTTTTGTAATTTCATCATCACTGTTTTTGTTGTTGTTGTTGGCGCTGCTAGTGATTTGGTTTTATCTCTGATCGCCACTTCGTTTCACTTCTCTTCTTGTTCCAGTGTACATAATCCTTGCCCACATTCACTCTTTGTGATATATATAATCTCCAGTCAACTTCTATTGTTCTTCCACTTTACTACTGTTCTTTTTGCCCCACATTTCTGTTTGTTACCTCTCCTTTTCTCTCTTCTTGTGTGTGCTACATGGACATGGAGTGTGGAAACTGGAACTGCTGCACATCTGTGCAAAGTTCTAGGATGGAACTAGTCAGTCAATAATCCTCCCCCACTCCTGCCCTCCCTGCCTGTCCCTTTGTTCTACTTGATCTTTGCCTAATTCCCAACTGTGATATGTCTGTAGATACAGTGTTTTCCTTCTTATATTATATTATGTTAGGTTATAGTTTTGTGAATGCTTCACTACTTTTATATCGAATTAGATGCACTTTTGTGATTGTGCGATGACCTTATTTGTACATAGTGACTTTAAATGCTGCATGGCTAGCAACAGTATGAGTCTGTCTCTCAGTGAACAGACTGTTTTTGCAGATAATTACAAGTGAAAATTGCCGTGGGCTTGTTCCACACAGCATTGTCGATGCGGTATAAAAATCCTAGCATGTTTAAAAATATTGAATATAATGTTCTCTTATCATGATATGGTGAGGGGAAAAACAAAGATTACAGCAGTCATAGAGATAAGTTGGTGTTTGCAATTATGAGAGTAAAACAAAGAAGCAACAGAACCATAAATATAATAGAAATAATAAAAGTAAAACTTGAAGGTATATAAGGATGGATGGAGGAAATTGTTTACTTACTAGATGAAAAAAGGCTAGTTAATTCTTGCCTGACACCAGTTTCATCACATTAAATATGTCCCAAGTACGGTATCATAGAATTGTTATCCTTAGACGTGCGAGCACACAGTTTCCTGAAGTTGGTGCTTGCTCTACCTGAGAAGATGCTAAGTGAAAGGTGATGCTCCAAGTTAGACAAAATCCCTTCAGCAAATTTATAACTCCATGTCAAGTGCCTATCGACAACGACGTTAACTATGTGGTTCACCGGGACACGGCTCACCCTGTTGACAGTGTTCAGCATTCTACGAATTGTGACATAGTCCTTTTTAAGCAA